AGAAATGAGTGCAGCTCCCGGGTTCCTTGTCTAGCAATGCAGTTCCAGGAGTCATTCCAGAAGTCTTGGCAGTGTGGCACCCATGGTAGCATCTGCAATAGTGAGTAGCTTTAGGCTCCCAAATTCTCATGTTTTGGTGGGAGTATAAACTCCTGGAACACTGCAATGCAGCAATATTGGTTCCAAATTTCCCTAGGAGTGGTAACAACTTCCTGGAATTATAAATTGCTCAGTACTCTCATCTTCTCTGTTTTACTCCTCGAATAATTTCTATCAGTTTTGTATTCAATTTCTTATATTCAGTTTGTTGAAATTGTAGTATTTAATATAGTTTCAGTTTTTCTGACTGAACATTGACCTAATTTTAGCTTGCTAATTTTTTTTTCTAATTTGTTATGGGTATTGAATTTTCTCAAATGTATTTTTTGGAATCTGTCAAGATTATTGTTTTTTGTTTTTGTTTTTAATCTTCTTAAATGTGTTTAAATAATAAGTTGTGATAGAAGACTTCTTAAAGATAAATAATCCTTGTATTCTGGGTATACAACATAAGTAATTACATTTTTTGCTTTCAATGCATTTCTTGGTTCAATTTGCTAAAATTTAAATTAAGATTTTTAACATTTATATTTAACATTTTTAACATTTATATTTATAAGTGGTTTGGTTGACAATTCTTTTCTGTAAAGGTTAAAATAGTGAATATTTTGGACTTTGTGGGCCACATAGTTTCCATTGTAACTACTCAACTTTGCTGTTGGGGTATGAAAGTAGCCATAGTCAATACATGAATGAATGTATTGGATGTGTTTCAATAAAATTTTGTTTGTGAATACTGAAATTTGAATTTCATATAATTTTCACATGTAACCAAATATTATTCTTCTTTGGACTATTTTTCAACCTTTTAAAATTGTAATAACTGTTCTTAGCCCATGGGCCACATAGAAACTCTTGGCAGACAGGATTTGTTCACAGGTTGTAGTTTGCTAATCCTGGTCTATGTATTTTTTGGAGGGAATCATCCTTACCTAGTTTGGAATCAGTGTTATATTAATAGTGCTCATGAATTTTGAAGTTTCCTGTTTTCTATGCATTGGAAGAGTTAAAATTAGATAGGAATTATTCTTTCACTAAATGTGGTAGAAATTAGGTCATTGAATACCTTTTCCACTTTTTTTCTCTGATTGAAGTTTTTCTAGTTACAAACTTTCACCTTATGCAAGACATTGTTTTTTCTGCCACTAAATAGCATTATCATATTTGTGTTTTGGAAAGATTACTCTGGCTGTGGTGTAGAGAATGGATTAGACTGGGGCAGGTGTGGCTGTAGAAAGTGAAGTGCTATTGTCCATGTAAGAGATGATGGTGGGTTAGACTACTGTAGCTACAGGTGGATGAAAGAAGATAAGTTAGGTAGTTTGTAATAACATTCAGGACGCATTTTAGGGGTTTTAAAGACCACTTTCAGGTTCAGTGATTAGCTAGGAGGACTTATAGGATTCAGTATATAGTCATATCCATGGCTATGATTCATTACAGTGAATAGATACAAAACAAATTCAGCAAAAGGGACTGGTACATGGAATGGTATCCAGAAGAAACTAGATATGAGCTTCCAAGAGTCTTCTCCCAGTGGAGTCACACAGGATGTCCTTAATTCCTCTAGCAAAGTGCTGTGACAAGGCACGTGAAATGTCTATTAAGGAAATTTGCCTGAGCCTAGGATTCCAGAGTTTTTATTGTCAGTAACATAGGTAATATCTGTCTAGCATATATCAAAATTCCAGAATCCCAGAAGAAAAGCAGCGATTCAGCACAAACTGAATTGTTTGTACAAAGAGTTTAAGCTCAATGAACCATTCTTATCAGGAAATGGTCTAACTTTCCCAAAATTCAAATGCCCAGACACCAGCCAAGAGCCAACCTTATAAGCACGACTTCAAAGGATAGCAGTCTTAGACTTATAATGTTAACTCTTTTCTATGGTTTCTAACTCTTAACTATATTTTCTGCATGGGAAATGAAATCGATATTTTTCTATTATATTCAAAGTTTGAAAACTTATTAAGGAAATATACTTAGGAATAAATAGCTTTGTCACTGAAATATGTGCCAAAGTGTTGTCACATTTCAGGTAAGTCAGTTAAAGTCTGCACGAATGCTTGCATCTTCACTAATTAATCAAAATATTGTACATTGAGCACTTCCTCTGTAACTTGCACAGAGTCAGGCACTCTGGATACTAATGGTGAGCCAAACTACACATGGTCTATGTCCTGATGGAACTCACAGTCTAGTGGTCAAAAAGAAACACTAATCAAGTAATCACAGGATAAATATTTAAAAACAAAATTTGAAGACTGCTATGAAGGAAAGAGGTAGTACAATGAGAGAAAATATGGAAGGGACATTTGAACTATGCCCTGAGGGATGAGTGGGCATTAATAGGTGAAGGTCTGTATTGGAGGTAGTGAGGGAAAGGGTGGGAGTTGGGTATTTCAGTCAGAAAGAGAGTCCTAGGGCTAATGTATAGATTAAATTAAACGAAATGTGCCAGAACCTCAGAGTGTACTGAAAAAACACCATCAAAATTGTTTTTATCTTCTCGAGTAGTTTCAGTATCTGCTTTTACAGTTTTTACACAGAGGCTCTGGAATTCTTCAGAGTGGTGATTCAATTTCAGCTCAACAAGAAAAGGACAAAGAGATGTCAGGGGAACTGGGAACCCAAGCACTTTGCAAAGAGTTGCTCAAAACAGAAGATTTGGTGCTTCTTTGATAAGCAAGGAGTAAAGGAAGTGGTTTCAGATCTAATGCTTCCATTTGCTATCTCACACACCACCTCTTGGCAAGTCACTTCTCCTTTAGGGTTTTACAAAAAACATACCAAGGCCCAGCACCCATAATTCTGAGGGAACCACAGCCTCATTCTCATTGAAAAGCCAGGTTCTTTTCTCCCTTTCCTCTAGGTGGCTCTGTGGGTGACCAGACATTTCCTACTCTCCAATTCCCTAGATCCAGACTCTGAAAGTGGTTTCTAGGACTCCTCTCTTCTATGTCTGGGTCACAATCCAAGTTCAGTTCAACAAATTCATTCATTCATTCATTCATTCATTCATTCATTTATTATTTAGTTTATTGGGATAACATTGGTTAATACAATTATATAATTTTCAGGTATTCATTATAAATTGACATCTATATATTCTATTGTGTGATTACCACCCAAAATCCAGTTTCCTTCAGCTACCACATATTTGACTCCCTTTACCCACTTCACCCTCTCCCTACCTCCCTATATCTGACCCCCTTTATCCCATCTACATTTCCCCTCCTCCCCCACCCCCTACCCTCTGGTAACCACTAGTCCATTGTCCATGTCCCTGAGTCTGTTTGTTTGTCCTGTTCATTTGTTGCTTTTAGGTTTCTATCCCACATATAAGTGATATCATGTGATTTTTAACTTTTTCTGTCTGGCTTATTTCACTTAGCATGATTATCTTGAGGTCCATCCATGTTGTCGCAAATGGCAGTATTTCATCTCTTCTTATGGCTGAGTAATATTCCATTGTATATATGTACCACAACTTCTTTAGCCAATCATCTATCGTAGGATACTTCGGTTTCTTCCACGTCCTGGCCACTGTGAATAATGCTGCTATGAACATCGGTGTGCAAATATTTTCAGATATGGGTTTTCAAGTCTTTGGGGTAAATACCCAGTAGAGGGATTGCTGGGTCATATGGTAAATCAATTCTTAGTTTTTTGAGAAACCTCCATACTGTTTTCCATAGTGGCTGTAGCAATATGCAGTCCCACCAGCAGTGTATGAGGGTTCCTTTTTCTCCACATTCTCTCCAACATTTGTTATTACTTGTCCTGTTGATTATAGCTATACTAACAAGTATGAGATGGTATCTCATTGTGGTTTTGATTTGCATTTCCCTAATAGCTAGCAATGTTGAGCATCTTTTCATATATTTGTTGGCCATTTGTATGTCCTCTAGGGAGAAGTGTCTGTTCAGGTCTTCTGCCATTTTTTGATTGGATTGTTTGTTTTCATGGTGTTATTGAGTCATATGAGTTCTTTGTATATTTTGGATATTAGGCCCTTATTGGAGGCATTACTTGCAAATATATATTCCCATTCGGATGGTTGTCTCTTTACCTTGTTGACGATCTTTTGCTGAGCAGAAACTTTTTAATTTGATGTAGTCCTATTCATTTATTTTTGCTTTTACTTCCCTTGCCTTTGAAGTTAAATTCATAAAATCCTCTTTAAGTCCAAGGTCCTTGAGTTTAGCTCTTATTCAACGAATATTTATTAAGCTCTGTGAGGCATTGGCTTTTGTGATGGGGTGCCATGAGTACAAAGATGAATAAAACAAAGCTTTTGTCTAGAGGGAGATGGATAGCAAAAACATGATTTAAGTGCCCAATTTTCCTATCTCAGTCTAGCTAGGGAAACATATATAGTAGATAATTAGATTGTAGTGTGATAAGAAACAGACATTGAGTTAGGGGGATTGAGAGTTAAAAGTTTGATAGACAACATTATAATTTAGCATAATATCAGATACATTTCTGTTTTAAAAGCCTTATTTTGTAAGTCTGTTTTAGTATCTTATGAAGGTATCAGGCCTATATGAACAGCTAATACAATGATCCAGGGCTTTTCCACATGCAGGCATGTAACACCTTATTTAATCCTTACAAAGAACTATTATTATCCTTATTTTGCAGATGGGCAAACCGGGCACGGAGAAGTTAAAATAAACTTAGCAAAGGTCACATCGTTAAGAAACCAGGATTCAAACCCAGGCACTCTAGCATCAGAGCCCACATTTCTGACCCTCCTTATACTTCTTTCTAGGGTTCCTTCTTCAAGCTTCATGTCACATCTCATAGAGACTGTCACTGATTATTCTTGGGAAAATCATGCAAACCAAGAGAAATTCAGGGAAAATTCAAACAGAAGAAAAGCACTGGATCTGGGAGAAAATATAGCCCAGCCATTTCTTTTCTCCTGGCAGAACCTAAGAACTGTTCTGTGTTAACACAGCCTATACCAGCCAGGCTCCTTCTTTCCCATGCCCAGTTTCCAGAGGTGACCCAGCCAAGTAGTTTAGAGTGTTCTGTAGATTTTTTAAAAATCAGCTTGACTTCTTTTTCTAGAAGCATGAGCTGCAACATTTCAATTTTCTCAGTTACCTGTTAAGCCCACGCTGACTTGCAGAGGGACTGTCCTGGCTTACCATCACTTTCCACTAGAGGGCCCTGCTCCGGAAATTTCAGCTTCAAGCGCATTTAGACAAAACTGACACATCTTTGGTCTGATTGAAGATCTTGTTCCATTGAAAGAATATTTTGATTTTATAGATCTGTTGGTCACAATCTAGTTCATCTGGAAAGTTGTGAAGGGGAAAATAAGATCTCACTCATTTTACAGAAGGAGAATCTGAGCCCTGGGGAATGGGGTGAGTAGCTTACATCTTCATAAATCAAAAGATTTTATAAAGAGAGTAAGAGACAAGAATGTAACAAAAATAATAATAACAACATGGCAGTCTTGAGTCCTGAAGGCAACTTTAAGAATTCCTGTGTGCTAATTCCATCCCAGGTTTGTTTTCCTGGAAGACCTAAAACACTTGCTTCTGTTTCTTCTCTCCTCTTTCTTTCTTTCTTTCCCCTCAACACACACATTTTTCACTGGGGCATTAGGAGACTAGGAATTTGAGTGAACACACCAGGAGAAGACAGGGACAGTTTAGAGAAGGAGGATGTTCAATCCCTCAATTCACCTAAGGGTTTTTATTTTAGGAGAAACTCAGCTTGCTTGTTCAGTGTCATCTTGGAATTTCTCTATCCTTTATCACCAAGTCTCTTTATTTTTTCCTTTGCATGCCTCCCTAGGGTGGCTGCCTTTCATCTTCTCACACCTGGTTCTTTGCTTCAGTTGATTTCTTAGTTGGTTTAACTCTGAAATTCTTCTCTCTCCAGAATGTCCTTATACTGGGAGTAGCCTCTGCTGTTGGCATCCTGATATTTAATATTTGCCATAATTTTATTCCATTGTATTTACTGGCTTTTATCTATTGATATTTCTGATATGTACCTTCTATATGAGTTGGCTTGTCACTTCCAATTCTCTTGTGAGCATTTATTGCTCACAATTAGGTACAAGGCACTATATTGGCTGCTGGTGGAGGAAGAGGTGAATAGAGCTATTACCTCTTATGATCACCTCTTCACAATCATAAAGTCATGGATCTTGCCCTTTAGTAATGTACAATGTAGAGGGAAACAAATAATTGTCTATACTATAAGGCAGAATGAAATGAATTATAGTGATTGAAGGACCAACAAGAGAAAAAAGAAGTGGAAAAAAGAGCCAGAATTAATTTGACTGATGAGACCAGGAAAAGCCTCATAAAGGAGGTAATATTTGAGCTGGGCATTGAAGAATGTGCAAATGGATAGGGGAGAGTAGGAGCACATATTCTTGCTGAGGTGCTATGCCACACATAGGCATTAGTCCAGCCAGTTGTACCCTGAATGAAGATTTCTGGGCAAAGGGGCAAGTGGAGACTGAAATGCAGCCCACACTCTACTCGCCAAACCATGCCCTTGGGTGAGGGGCTACATCTGCCTCAGGAAAAGGGTGCCTTTACTTAATTTGTCCAAGGTGCCGTATGGACTGGTGAAAGCCAAAAAACCAGGTCTACTTACATATATTGAATGTGAGAAGAGCATTCTAGATGATGTGCCATGGCATATTATAGGTGTGCAAAATACTGATCCTCTCTTATGTATGGAATTGCTGAGAAGGGTCATCACCTGCAGTCATGAGAAGCCTCCAGCCACATGCAGCCTCTGGACATGAGCAATCTTGATTATTTACCCCATTGTGCCATGAAAATATTTTCTACATGTGCTGTGATGTAAAGAAGATTGGAAAACACTGTGTTGGAAGACCTGCTTTATCATTCGTCCAGAAGGCAGTCATTTCAGAAAGGGTACGTGTCCATCTGTCTAAACAGTCACAAGCTATGCCCAGCAGCAGAGGGTTTCCTGCTTTGCTTACATGTTGGGATGTGGTGATTTGCATTCTTCAGGTGAGATCTGGACAAAGAAAATCTGGGTCTGGGGCATCTGCCATTAACTGTGGTTGTACTCCAGTTTCCATGGAGAGAATGCTGTCGTCTGGCAGCCTAGATCACAAATTCATAGCTTGAAGTCCCAGGAGGTTTGCTGTCCCGAGTGCTGGTTTTTTCTATCTGTGTTCAAGAGGGAGACGGAGGACATATAAACTGGAAGGTGCTGCTGGGGAATTCCCTAAGGTACCCAGGAGAGTTGTGCAAATGGCACAGGGAGATGCCTTAGATTTCCCTGGTGCTGGTGATAACTGGGGTAGCAGGGCCTTGCCCTTTGCTGAGTCCCTCACTTCTGCTTCAGCTACCCCTGGAAGCCCTTGGATCATAAACTGCTTTGTCCAGAGAAAAACAGGAGGGAATAAGAGTACTTGCATTGATTTTGATTATAGGCTTGAGGCAACATCCAGACTTAAGCTACCTGCCCTCCTTGTTCCTAGTCAAACCTCAGTTCCTTCTGTACCCTAATAATTGTACCTTTGTTTATACACAGTGATGGTCACCTTCACTACCATCTCATGTGCTTTAGTTACTTAGAGTACTGCAGATAACCTTCCTACTGGCTTGAGGAGTCTTAAGTTTTAAATTATGTACTGGCCAATTAACAATTGTCATCCAACTTGTTTAGAGAATTAACTTTGAGATGTCTCAGTCCTGAACGCCCTGATTAATTCTTCAAATCTAGTCCTTTCCAACTTTATCTACTCTGCTTCCTCCCACTCTCTTTCAGATCTTGGCATAAATATTAGAGATCCCAAAGCTGTCCTTCTGACTATAGCAGAAATAAGGGCCCTCAGACAGCGACAATCCATCATCAGATTACCCCTCACTGAAACTCCTATTAAAAGACAGGGCTTACCATCTCCCTGCACATTCCAGAGTAGGACGCTGAAGCACAGGGATGTGTATCACTAGACCACTACAAATGTTTGTGCAGGTTGCATACCATAAAGGTCAGCTGAAGGAGCAAACAGGAACTGAAGTTCAGCCTGTGTTTTACTTGCCAGTCTGTGTACCTGGTGTGGGCCTGTGTCTGCTCATAAGGAGCCACCTCTTTTCTTATTTTCACACTGAGCTAGCAGTGGCCCTGGGTGTTGCCGAGGCTGGAGTTTCCACATTACAGTTCAGGGGCTTAGGAACTCCTGCACTTAAAGGGTGGGATGAGCACCTCAGGCAGGCTAGCCATATATGGCCATGGACCTAAGGAACAGGGCTCTGTATGTATGTGGAAGTACCTACAGACCAAAGCCTTTAGCAATCGATCCTGAGGTCTAGAGTCCCAAAGGAACCAGCTGGCCCCCCGTTGGATGAACAGGGTACAGCAGAATGACTGGAACATATAGGACAACACAGATAAAAAAAAAAAACAGAAAGTATTTACCTTATCAGAGTACTGCACTATGGAATAAATCGTGTTTACTGGCTTCTCCTTCATGGGGTGCACCTATAAAACACCCATCTTCCCCTCAGTGAGGGAGCCCAGGCAAAATGTAATAAGTCCCCCTTCTTACTTCTGCCCCTGCCCATCACCCCTCCCTGGTCCCATTTTTACTAGGTGGCCTTCTCTCCAGGACTCGGCTCTGCTTCCATCCAGCTTTGGAGAGGATAAAAAATAGGTGGGAGCGGGATGGGCAAAAATCTCAGGAGTGAAGAAGGAGGGTTCTGCATGGTTGAGACTGAGTCTTGCTCAGTCAGAGTTTTAGCTTTTTGTGTTTCTGTGCACCCAGCTGCCTTATCAGCCCGAGTACAATGCGAGATTCACCAGGCAGACCTGTTTCCCCCTTCACTTCTTGTAGACTTCAGGGGAGCAGGCTGGTAGAGGTACGGAGGAAGGTCATAACATGGAGAATCTTGATTCAGGGTGGAGGTTAAAAAAGGGCAAGCACATAAAAGGCTGGTGGGAGGAAAGGGTGTGGTACAGAGTGACTCTGAACCTGAGGAAAGTAAGCTGCTGCTGTAGCCAGACCAGAAAGTCAAGTTCAAGGGTCCCTTTCTCATTTCTGTGCCCTTGAAGCTCCCTTAGCAACCTGTTTACTGGCTGGTGGCCACAGAACAGCCCTCACCTCACACAAGGGGCTCCCTTTTTCTTTGTCTCCTACACAGGGAGCTTCACTCCTAGTCAGGGCTCTCATCTAACCCTGAGCCAGGCCCCTGCTTGGAAGGTTAGGGCTTCAGTCTTGGAGGCTGCCATAGGGTGAAAATTTGCCACATTCTGACCTCACAAGAGAGAATTGTGACATCATTTTCCTGATATGGTATTTTCTAGTTGGACCTCTAGCATCTTGGCTGTTGCGAAGAAACAGGAAGCAAAGACCTGCTGTCCATTACTCCTTGTCCTGGAGGTGCTGGTGGTCATTCATGAGTGGGATCAGCTCACCTTGAATGGGGAGATTTCATCATAGATTCGGGACTCTTCTGGCTGGATGTCTCTTGAAGCCATTGCATATGTGTATATTGTTTTCTTTGAGGTAGCATCTGTGTCACAAACATAAAACCACAGTATGCAAAAGGTGAATGAAGTTTTAGAGATGATCTAGTCTAACATTTTCTTTTTAAGATGAAGAAATGAAGCCCTAAGAGGTTAAATGGTTCCTATCCTCTTGAGATGGATGTTTGGAATATTTCTCCCTTTTCTAAGGATGGCATGTAGTATGGGAGGCACCTAGCTCAAGCCTTACCCAGAACTCAGTGGGGATTCTTTTCTACTCTACAGTCCACATTAGGTTAAAGAGAGTCTCCCCAATTCCACCCAGGGTATTCTTAGTGTCTCTGGCACTTAGCAATGACTGTTTTGCATGACTACTTGTCTTCTCATGTGAGGGTCTTGGTTTTTCAGCTAGTTGAACATGGGGTTAGGAGAAGTAGGAGGGTGTCATGATCTCCCTGAGTGCTAAGATCAGATTTTATGAATTGAGAATGGCACAAGTACAGAAGGATCCAGAAGGATCTAGTGCTAACCATAAAATACAAAATTAGTACGTGTCCCTCAATGACTCCAAAAGTCATAGTCAAATACAGAGGACTTGAAAGTGACCCTGGAGGCCCTCTGGTCTAAACCTTATTTCACATGTGAGAACATTGAGCCAAAGAGGTAAAGACATATGTCTAATGAAGCACAGCTTGTTAATGGCAGTGCTAAACTTGAACCTAAGCTCTGGGCCCATCAGATACTGGTGATCCCATAAACAGATTTTGAAGACCATTCAGCTTGATGTCATACAGTCCTCAGGGCCATCATTCTGGGAGATCGTGAAGTGGTAAAGTGGAGATTATAGAAATGTTGATTCTTTGGAACAAAGGACCCCTCTATATCAACTTGGATAAATGACTTCAGTCCCAAGAAGAAGGAAGGTGCATTTCCACATTGGGAAAATCTTACCTTGTTCTCTCTTGCACAAAAGAAACAAAAGCACTGAAGGCAGAATGATTGTAAACAGAGAGACCACAGCTAGGCCACTCAGTAACCCAGCGTGATGAGTTTGGAGGCCCATTGCAATATCTGGAAATAGAAGATGCAGTGAGACAACTCAGGAAATAGGTTCAAGATCCTGGGTAAGCTTGTCCACATTCAAGGGGCACTATCAAAATTGGGTGTCTTACATAGGAGTGCCAAATCTTCAAGGGAAACTGTACTTTCTGCTATTAAAAGTCAGGATAAGAAACTGAATCAAGGAACCAAGTGGGTGTTACCTCAGAACACACTGAAAAAAAAAACACTCAGAACATCTCTCAGAAGGCTTTGGATTCATTTCCAGGGTTTCCTAGGAGAAGATACTCCTGGGGACCAGTCCTGGCATAAGGGAGGCATATTACTCTGAAGAATGAGGCCCACATTCATTATAGCTCTTTGAAGTAATTTACGAGATTCCAGGAAAGATGGACAGAGCTGGATACCTGCACAGAGCTGCTGGGCAGAGATGGAGTCAGAATTGTTGCTGACAGGGTTCCAGGCTGTACATGTGTAAGTCAGCTCTTGGTTGTCAGGAGTCTGGAAGATCTGAAGGACACTACCTTCTTCTCTCAGAGGACTCCAACTGTATATTACATTCTTTTCTTCTTTTTCCACAGAGCATGTCAGTGTGACATTACAGGTACTATTCACAGATGTCATGAAACTCTGAGTAATTTTCGGCTTTCCAAGTCTACCTGTGAGGGGAAAACACATTAGTCAGTGGTAAGCTAGGGTTGGCCTATACCAGTTTGTGAGGGCCAAATGTTAAATTTTCAAAACATTTTCAAGATGTTTGTTAATGAAGCCATTGTGAAAAATCAAAGTATAAAAACTTATAGTAAAATAAACTATATGAAAACAAAGCTAATAAATATCCTAAACTCATTACTTTCTAATTTTTTTGACAATTTACCATTATCTATGCTCTAGAAGTTATTTACATTTATGTATCTGTTATTTGTAGTAATGTACAAAGTCTTTCCAACTCTGCATGTCTTAAAATCAGCCATTTGTAACAACATGAATGGATCTTGAAGATATAATGCTAAGTGAAGTAAGTCAGACTGAAAAGGACAAAAACCATATGATTTCACTCCTATGTGGAATATAAAACAAAAAGTAACAAATAAACTGTCAGAAACAGAAGCAAACTCATAGACACAGAAAACAGAATGGTGATTACCAGAGAGGAAAGGGGTGGGAAGAAAGTAAAGGGGTTTAAATACGTAACAGAAGGAAACTAGATTTTGGCATGCAATAGTGTATACAGATGTATTATAAAGATATATAACAAATTTATATAATGTTATTAACCAATGTTACCTCAATAAAGTTAATTTTAAGGAATCAGCCATAGTGGGAGTATTTACACCACGGGAATTGTCAAACGCTACAAACTGGGGCTTGATTTACTGCCTTGTTGATTGTCTCTCTGGACTTAAGAAAGCAACGGAGGAAAGGCTACAAAAGCAGATTAAACTTAAAAGTTCATTCTGTTCATAGCCATTACGTTGTGAATAGCAAAATCATAAATAATAACAATAATAATATAAAAAACAACCCCTCCAAAAAACAAAACAACAAAAAAACAGACTAGGAAATATTCTCCTAGTATTTGAAAACCACTCTCCAATTCAGCAAAGAAGTTGCTCACATCATTGACAAACAAGTGAAGTTCCAATATATGTCTTTATTGAATCACTTTTTTCTTATTAGCTAACTTAAATGAAAATATCAAACAATATTCATGTTGGGTCATTCATCAATTGCAACTGTAGGTTGGATAGGGATGTAAATGTTTAGCAAAAGTCGATGAAAGCATTCTGTGAGAACAACTGGCTACATTGAATTTACAATAAAGACTACTGTGAAGACCATACTTTCAGGAATCATTTCTACAGTTTGTTACTAGACAAGTTTCTCTGAATGTGCAGAACACCTGGGGATGAGTAGAATGGGAGGTGGTATGGGAAGTGGCATGTTCTAATTCTTAGAATAGTGCTTTACTGTTATTAATGAGAACCGTGACAGGAAGCTCAAGGCAGTGCTTCTCATCTATGTTTTCAGAGAAGTCGGTTGAAGAAAATGGCTGAAGAAAGGGCTGGCTGATGTTTAAGAAAATCACTATAACCATCAGTTACTGGTTTCAGTTGACAACTTATAATGGTTTATTGCTATCACTGTCCATGCCTACAAATAATTTAGTTTGTATTTTTGAATAAAAAGACATTCGTATATTCCTAATGTACAAGTGCAAGAGCCATGTACCAATGTACTGCTTTTACCTTAAATCATTAAGGCATTTTTACTAGTATTCTGTTAAAATTAGGATTTTAGTGTTTGCCATCATCTGACGAGAAGTTAAGAAGCAGCCTTTTTCTGGAGAGTAAGAATAATTATGTACAAAGTAGAAAAATATGTAATTATGCGGTAACCTTTGTGTAATAAAAGTTTGTTTAAAGCACAAAAAAGACTTTTATTGACGTTTATAAAAGTATGCCATACATCCATTATGTCAATAAAAATTATTATGTGTATAATGTATATGCACACACAAACACACCATCAAGAACCAGTTGAACATATATCAGCACACCCCTGAATGAGACAATATTTTAAAAAGTTTTTGGCCTTGTTTTCTGGTATATGTGTGTTTTTTTTATCCTTTTTGTTTTGTTTTAAAGTGCTCATGGTGAAAAGTTAAAACTGTTGTAGCTGCCAGCCCCCGAAAGACACATGGACCACCAGAAACCAGTGAGAACAACTGGGTCTTTATTCAGCCAGCTGGGTCTGCCAGGGGTATGCAGACCCTAAATTAAGCAGCCCCGAAATGTAGAGGTACAGGGTTTTTAAGCTCTAAATTCCATTCCTCATTCTGTCTTAAACACAAAAGTCTATTTTTCTCCTATTCACTACCTGTCAACCCACAGGTCGGGTGTGCAAGCGGGGGTATAGAACTTATTGTTAGAATGTTACGTTCCCATGAGTGATAGCCTATGTTCCCATGGGCAATAGCCAAGCAATAATTTTCCAGCCAGCACAAAACCTCTTAGAAAGTTCATTTTGAAAAATATTTTCACTAAAGAAATCAAAAGATAAACTGTAAAAGTCATAGGCTAGAACAAGGTTAGAAAAGAATAATTATATTTAAATTGAGGTAATAGCTAGATCTGGAGGTAGCAGAAGGAAATGGAAGATCTTTTCTTTTATCAGGAGATAAGAAAATGACTACATTCAGAGTTCCTAAATTTAGTTCATTCTTGTCAAAGCTGTTGTGATGGGATTTGTTCCTTTTACTATAGTTGTATGAGGAAGGGAATTGAAGAGTCAGAAGGACCTGGCATTTAACTTTCTAATTAATGTGACATTTATAAAGGCAATATATTCAGCAGTGTAAATATAGGAATCATTTGTCTGTGCTTGTAAAGAAGGAGAACATGAGAAATAAGAAGCCGTAAAGGTTTTCAATTCTAACTTAACCAGAAACCCTAGTTCTACGAATCTCTTAGAGGGATCTATCTATTCCAGATTAGAATTAGCGATAACTTGGCAAGAAAACTAAACAAGTTTGTAGAAAAGAACTTGATTAGCTATAACAGTGAGAGATATGAATATGTATAGGGTAAAATGAACCAAATTGTGTATGTGTCTCTGTTTTTTGTTTTTGTTTTTTAGAAACTTGATTTGCAAGAATGTTTAAATCTCTGCTTGGTATTTACTTATTTTAGAAAGCTTTGGAGGGAGTGTCAAGGTGATGAATAGAAGTGAAAAATAGGATCCCATCTCATTTTTTTTTTTAACAGAGATGTTACCTGCTCAAAGCTACTGGGCAGAGGTCAGAGTTGTGGCAGAGAGGATTTCATTTTCTCAACCCAAAGAGTGTGGAAGCCATTGGAGACCTGGTTCAGAATCCAGACTCCATTACTTTCTATGGAATGGTGGAGAAGGTATACAGTTTCACTGAGCTTTAGTTCTCTCAATTACAACATGAGGCTAACAGTGTTCTCCTGCTAGGGTTGTTGTGAGGACTAAATGAGCTATTATATATCTAATACCTATCTATCTATCATCTATCTATCTATCTATCTATCTATCTATCTATCTATCTATCTATCATCTATCTAATCTATCGATCTATCATCTATCCATCCATCATCTGTCTACAATTGCATGTGTGTTAATTATCTATGAATGAGACAAAATAAACTGACAATAGTGACTAACCCTGAGAATGGAGAGTTGCCTTTCACTGTTTTATCTTTAGCTCTGTTTCTGCGTATATTGCCTAAATATGTATAATCTTTATATATTTTCGAAAATTAGGTGGTAGAATGCCAGACACATAGATAGTGTTCAATAAATGCAGTTCTCTTCTCTTTATCTTCTCAGCTAACTACCCAAAAAGTACAGATTTTGTTGTATGGGCAATACAGCTTTCTCTAAGACTTTACAGTGGTCTGCCCCAATTGCAGATAACACAACACCTCCCAAAGACTGAGTGGGTAAAACTAAATGTGTAAAGAGATGAAAACAGACATCTTAGAATTGAATGCCCTCTTTATTTTCTCAACCAAATTTCTCAAATGAGCCAAATATTTTCTAAAAGGTTCACACTTGTTCTTTGACTATGTCACTCACACTCTATTCAGAGGGAGATAAGGGTTAAAAAATTAATAATGACTACTAGTTAATGAGCATCTACTTTAAGGCATGAGATCTCAACTAACACTATTGTTTAATCCCACCTATTATAATCTACATTTTATAGATGAGGAAATTTAGGTCCAGAGAGGGTAAACAATTTGCTGAAGGTCACACAACTGGCAAGAGGTCTCATTTCAACATTAACGCTCTTTCTACTATGCCTTGCATCCAGATACTACCTGCTTCAATCAAGCTGTATTAATTGAGCACTTACAATTGTCAGGCACCGTGTTGGACCTGGGACTATTGTGATTCATTCATTCTTTCATTTAACAAACACTTCTGGAGCATCCGCTATGTGCCTGACAATGTAAGTGCTGGGAATACACTGACGAGCTTCATATACAAGGGCCCTGACTTTATGGAACTTGAATTTAGTGGATTAACTATGCACCTGAATTGTACCTATCACAACATGGATTAGCCACATTTCTGTAGTTTTTGTGCTGTGGGGCAGATAGACAGTAAAATCCTTGAGACATGGCTCAAATACTTTTTATACTAGAAATTAGTGCTGCCCAATAGAAATAAAAAGTGAATCACTTATATAATTTAAAATTTTCTAATAGCCACATTAAAATAATAAAAATAAACAGGTGATAAAAATTTCAATAATGTATTTTATTTACCTGAATCTAGCCAAAATGTTATCTTAATCTGTAACCAATATAAAAATTATTAATGAAGTATTTTACGTTCTTTTTGTGTGAAGACTTTGAAATATGGTGTGTATTTTACACTTATAGTACATCTTAATTTGAACTCACCACATCTGAAATACTCAAGAGCCATATGTGGCTAGTAGCTACCATATTGGACAGAGCAGTTCTAAATTAGTGTTTCTCAAACCTGAGCACACATAGGAATAGTCCAGAGAGAGCGTTAATACAGTTTCTGGGCTTTGACACCAAAGGTAAGGGGTGGGACCTAAGAATTTGCATTTCCAACTAGTTCCCAGGTGATGCTGATGCTGATGCTGATGCAGCCAGGGTACAGACAACACTTGGAATAGCATTGCATAACACACAACACACATCTCCCAGTGAATCATGAAAATTTTAATAATGATGCTAGTTCTAATATTTTACCCTTTATAAGTACTTTGCATTAGCTTTAGAGAAATTCAAATTAAAACCAAAATGAGATATTACTACATACCAATCAGAATGGCCAAAATAAAATAACACTAAACGCTAGTGAGGATGTGGAGAAACTGGATCAGTCATACATTGCTGGTGGGAATGTAAATAGTTAGGCAATTCTTTTAAAACTAAAAATGACTCTTAAAAGTTCTGAGTTCTACAGAGAGCTATCAAGCCATGAAAGGACATGGAGATAACTTCAATGCATATTACTAAGTTTAAGAAGCCAAACTGAAAGGGCTATATATACTGTACGATTCCAGCTACATGTCAGTCTGAAAAAGGCAAAAACCATGGATATAGTAAAGAGATCAGTGGTTTCTAGAGGTAATGGTGGCCAGGGGTGGTGGAGCGGGTGGGAGGAGGGATGAATAAGCAGAGCACAGAAGATTTTTAGGGTAGTGAAACTATTCCATATGATACTATAATGCTGAATACGTGTCACTATATATTTGTTAAAATTCATAGACTCTACAATACCAAGAGTGAACCCTGATGTAAACTATGGACTTTGGGTGATAATGATGCATCAATGTACATTATCAATTGAAAAATATGTAACACTCTGGTGGGAGATGTTGATAATAGAGAAGGTTGTGCATGTGTGGGGCAGAGTGCATATGGGACTCCCTGTGCTTTCTATTCAATTTTTCTAAGAACATTAAACTGCTCTAAAATATAGAATCTATTTAAGGCGGGGAGCTCTGAGATGAATAGTGATGATGTTTGCCCAAAATTTGAATATATTAATGCCACTAAACTGTACATTTAAAAATGGTTAAAATATCAAGTGTTATGTTATGCATATTTTATCATGATAAAATTTTTTTAAAAAAGAAAAATGGATTAACCATATCATTTCATTCTTGGGCATTTATCTCAGAGAAACAACAACTTATTTCAAGCAGAAACTTGTATGCAAATATTCATAGCAGATTGATTTGCAATAGCCCCAAACTGGGAACAACTAATATATCTCTCAATAGGTGAATGGTTAAACTAACTAGTACTTCAATACCATGGACTGCTACCCAGCAATAAAAAGATATAAACTATTGATACTTGCAACAATTAGCATAACTCTCAAAGAAATTACATCAAGTGAAAAAAGCCTTTCTCAAAAGCATGCTTAGTACATGATTCCATCTATGTAACATTTGTGAAATAACATAACTATAGATATGAAAAATGGATCAATGTCTCCTGGAAGTTTTGGGAAAGGGGGTAGTAATGGGTGACTTTAAAGGGATGAGGGACTCCTGGCAATGGTACAGTTAAGTATTTGTCTGTGGTGGTGGTTATACGAAGCTACATATGTGAATAAATTGTGCAGAGCAACACATACACTCACACACAAATGAGTGCCTGTATAACTGGTGAAATCTAAATAAGCTCTATTTATTTTACCAATGTCAATTTCCTGGTTTTGATATTGTACTGTAGTTATATAAGATGTTACCCTCAGTAGAGACTGGGTACAGTGCACACAGAACCTCCCTGTGTATGTCTTTACACATTTCTATGCATCTCTAATTATTTTGAAATAAAAAAAGTTTTTATTTTTTAAAGTACTTTGCATACATTGTCTCACTTGACTCTCACAATACCTATGGGAGGTGAATAGTATGATTAATCATTCACCTTTTATAGAAGAGAAAAACAAGGCCATGGGACACACTGCTAATGGAAGATTTCATAGCTAAAAACAAAGCCACATCCTCTTTATAAGTATTAATATAGTTAATCAGTATTTATAAATATAAAAAGATTTAAGGTATCCAATTGTCAGAAATAAGTGTTCTTTAATAGCAAATTTGCAAAGTAAAAATAAAAAATCAAGCCCTCTATCTTCCCACAACTTACAGTAGACTTGAAGGTTGTAGCTCCTGGTGGTGGTGAGTACCTTCCCAGAGACTTTTGTATTTATGTTGGCTTTGTAGATCCCCTCATCTTCCATCCTCAGATTGCTGATTTCCAGGTTGTAGTTCTGATGTGAGACATTTATTCGCCCATTATAATTTTCGTGGGTCAAAATAACGTGGGGTGCTCTTCCTGCGTCTCCTGGTTGTACAAGAGCAAAAGTTGTTTTGGAACTCATCCAAGCAATGTTGTCAATTTCCTGAGATCCTTGGATATTTAAGGGGAAAGTAACTGGCTCCCCCAGAATCCCATTCACCATGGTGACGTCTGTGTTGCTTTCAGCTGCTGCCAGACCTGAGATCATAAATAGAAAATCGTAGCCATTTGGCTTTGTACTTGTTAGACTTCCCTATCTCCCAAGCTTAAGTCTCCCTGAGAAGCTCACGTGGATGCAGATCATCCAGTTTCCTGAGGATGCCATTTCTTTTGGCATTCTACTCTAGATATATTTAATGTTATGATAGCTAAATTTTCTAAAGGATTCTCATTAAAAAACTAAGTTTCCTAGTGATCCATTTCATTAAAAACATGTTCATCTATAGACTGACAGACTCTGAGAGCTAGAAAGGGTTTGAGGGATGAAGACCATAAGCCTCCATGAGATCTGATTTATTAAATGTCTTTCTTTCCCAAGATCATACTGCCAAGTTGTAGAAGAGCTGGGTCAAGAGCCTGGGATGGCTACTATGGTCTTTGCGAAAAGAAATTTATGCCTCTATTCCTGGAAAATATAGGTAGAGAGTGCTTTAGAAGCTGTGGAGAAAATACTCCCTAAGTTGGTGATTTGGGGAGGACTTTTTGTTCACTACTATATCCCCAGTATCTGGAAGAGTATCTGACAGATAGTAGGTGGTTAGTAAATATTTCTGAGACAAATGAATAAGTAGAATTCACTTATGTGCTGTCTAAAATCTCTTAGAAAAACTTCTGAAGTAAAGTTTATTTATTCACTCATACACTTATGAATGAATACATGTTTTTATTCAAGATCAGCTTCATTCCAGATATACTGGCAAGTATATATTAATTTATAATACAAATGTTTGTTGAGCATCTACTCTTCTGAGCATGATGTAAGAAGATGGGAATACAATGGTGAATAAAAATGAATATAGTCCCTGCCCTCCAGGACTTAACAGTTAAAGAAAGTGACCAATATGGATCAGATAACAACAACTGGTTAGATACAAAATATAATACTATTATGGTGCTTTGAGAGAGAATAGCAAGGGGTCTTCATTTGTTCTGGGAACTTAGGTACTCTTTGTAGAAAAGCTAAAGGATGAATGTTTTAAAAAAATCTAGCATGGGAAAAAATAAAGGTTTATTTTCTTCTCCTCCATTACTTAATGAAGATGAGTTGATTTAATATATAATTTGTAAAATAAAAGGCAATATAATAACCAACAGATACAAGCACTGACCCATCAGTAAGGATATCAGCCATAAACCACAACAATGCCATTCTGATGAGTCGTGGCTACATGTAAGCCCAAAAGAACTGGACACAAATTTTCCACATAAATGGGTTCAGGTTAATTATAAAATTTATCCGGGGTTTGGGATAAAGAGGGCAAGAATAAGGATAATTGAGAATACATGTTATTTTGAAATGTCAGTAAAGCAAAGGGAATTTTTAACCTACTGGTGCTGTCTCACTAAGGCCACATTTGCCCTCCAGCCCAGTAGCTTTCGAATGAGCCCAGGAGCTATGAACATAAACGACTTTCCTTTCAGACCAATCAAGATTTTCCCTTAGGAGGACTGTTCCAGAAAAGGCCTGATGACCTAGTCAGTGTGAGCTAAGTACAGAGGTAGATGTAACAGGGTCCTGGGGGGAAAGGGAGACTAAGGATCCTTATCTACGAACATTTATTAAATGCTAACTATGTGCCAGATGCTGTGTTAGAGACTCAGGGATGAATAGGACATGGTTGCAGTCTTGAGGAAGACACGTGTATATACAAGTGAAAAGTAATGCAATGTGATGAATGGTATGTGGTAAGAGCAGAAGGAACACACTGTTAGGGAACAAAGGGAGAGATTAAGGTTGCCTTGAGTGGCAGGAGTCGTAGTTTACCAAAATCTATTCTCTTGAACATTAATTCTCTCCACATAAACTGTTCCACTGGGCTGATGAGGTTTGAAAGAAGGGCATGTGGAATGTGCCAGCCTGAATTCCTGGATGTCCCAGACAGGGTATGTGACATACAGTTGCACAGAGATTTGAGCTCAGAAGGACCCTGGACTTAGTTTAATGTACTGTGCCATTAAAGTAGTGTGCACTTGAAATTCTTAACATTATTTGAACAAGGAATCCCACACTTTCATGTTGTACTGGCTTCTGCAAATCATACAGCTGCTCTTGGTGCCAGATCTCCTATGTCTGTCTTAAGGCTTTGTTTTGAAGTCAGGCCTTAGTGCCTAATTGCCATTCTACTTTCTGGATTCAGGTCAGTGTAAGAAGTTCGTTTCATAGACTCATAATTCTTCTGGGTTTTCTCATCAAACCTCAGTAAGTGTGTAGGCAGTTTGCTAAGGTGGCAAAGATCTTCTTAGTATTAGAGCAGTTGTGCAGCCACAAAATGATTGGTGGGTGATGTGGCTTTTGAAGTCTGTTTTATTTTCCACAGCAAGTTATTCAGGAAGTGATGCTGAAGTATCAAAGGATGATGAGGTAGAGGGGGTGGTAGATAGAATAAGCTGGAGGAAGTCCTGCTGCTGTTTGTGCTGATATTGTTGATGAGAATTCCAGGCTTGCTGAGAAAAACACAGGGTTTGTACAGGCATAAGATAAAGATCCTGCCACCTTCAAAAGTTCCAATTGTGGTATGATAGATGCAGCAAAACCATAGCACGAAGTAGAAAGATAGGGAGGCTGAAGATGTAGGTGCTAGTACTTATACTAATGAGTTGGACAACCTTAATATAATCACAAAACTTTTGGAATCTCAGTTTCTTCATTCATAGAATGGAAATAATAGCTATAAAATTTGCCCTATCTAATTAGTGATCAACAAATCATATAATATGAATGGAAATGCTTTGTTAACCATCAAGGCAAGATAAAAGTTATTTCTGAGGTAGATAATGATCATCATGAGGATAGAATCACCCTCATCACCTTTTTTATTATCATCTTAATAAGATTATATAAAGAGCCATTATTAAGAACTAATTCAAATAAAGCCCAGGGGATAGTTTTAGGTACCACTACACTTGGTGGATTTTATTTTTCTCTTAAAAACTTCAGGTTTTTTTTTTTTAAAGAATCTCTATATCAACCGATCCCAATATTTATTTTTCTAGGTGCTAAATGGACTTAAACATTATATTAGTGTTGGAGGGGACCTTAGGAAAATTCGGTTTCAGAGAGAACGTGACATAAAAATGTCTTGAGGACATTACCATGAAATGCACTATCTAACTCTATGACCAAGATAGGTTCCTTATCTTTTTCAGAGATTTCATAACTGGTTAGAAAAATAACACACACATACACATAACTCTTCTTTGCAATATGAGGTAGTAAATGATAAATTCAAGTGAATGGTAGAGACAATAATTGCAGTAGGAATTCAAAGAAGGGAAAGATCACTTTGAGCTGTAGAGGTTAGAAAAAACTTCCTGAAGATAAGTAGAATTTGAGGGGGATCTTGAAGAGCAAGTAGAATTTTACTGGATCGAAAAGGAAAGAATGGGTGCCTCAGGTCCTGAATATAAGTTTAAAAGCAGGAGAACGTGTGATGTAGTTTAAATGAATATAGGTTTGCATAATAGAGAGAGATAGGGCCGGAGATTTAAAGAGATATAGTTTAGATTTGGGACAGTCTTGAGTTTGAGGTCTATACTACAGACAGAAGAGAGCTATTAAGGTTTCTGAGGATGGAGATTAAAATAATGTTTTAGGGCTATAGTAATATGGCAATGATGTGTGGGAAGTATAAGAAGAAAGAGAAATTGGGCTTGAGAGACCATTTCAAAGGTTGTCACAGTCATCTGGGCATTAACTGGAGGATGATAATGGGAATGGAAAGGAAGGGCTAAATTTGAGAGCACAAAAAAAGGCAAGGGATAAGAAGGCATCTAACAGAATTCATTTGTTCAACAATATATTTTAAGTGTCTATTTCATGTTAGTGGAAAACCGATTCAGTTTATTTTAGAAGAAAACCAAAAATAAAAAAAAGTTTAATGTTATAATATTGAATTTGAGATGATGGTGAGCCATCTAAGCAAACGGTTGGAAGGATGGATGATGGGAAGAGAGGATGGTCTTGAAGTATTGTTTAAGGGCTGTGGCAGAATCTTCTAGTTGTTTTCCAATATTTTTTCTCTCCTTCATTCTTAGTAACAGAATCCCAAATTTGTAGCGGGGCATATAGTCACCCAGAATAAAGACTACCTTGCCCAGCTTTCTACTAGCTAAGTTTGGTCATGTGACTAAGTTTAGGTCAATGGGATGACAGTGGAAATGTTTTATATGACTTCTATGTCTTTAGGAAGGCTCACTTTGCATTCTTTGTCTCTTTCTTGCTCCTTTCAGGCTGAATGCCATGACAGCTTGATCTCAGACAGACGTTTTGATCAAGAAGATGAAGCCAAGTACTGAGAATGACGGAGCAGGAGATTGAAAAAGTATGGATCTCTGATGACTTTGTGAACTATTTCACCAATTGGAACTGCCAATTCTGGATTTTTTTTTTACATGAACAAGAAATAAACTTCTTTCTTCTTTAAGCTGTTCTTATTTTTAAGTCTTGGTCATTTGTTATCAAACTGAAATCTAAGTGGTTTATGAATCATCCACAGAGTGGTGATTGAAAGAGAGGAGGGTCATTCAGGAAGAGTAATGCTGAAATCCAAGGCTGAGCCTGTGAACAGTGCTCACAGTTATAAAAGAGGCACTATCAAAAAAGATTAAAAAAAATGAGTAGACCGAATGGCAAGAGAGGCGCCAATTGTGGACAATATCATGGAACCCAAGAGGAGAAAGAATCTTGGAAAGGGGATTATTACTGATTTCTAATGATTCAATGGGATCAGAGTGTTCAATGGGATAAAAACTGAAAATGGCTCCATAGATTTGTCTAGGAGGTTATTGATGGCCTTTGAGAATATAGTGCCAGTAAGATGGTTCAAATGGAGAACAGAGTATAGATGATCGAGGAAGGAATAGGTGGTAAGGAAGTAGAGAAGCTTGACAGTGAAAGAAAGGTGATCAAATAGAACAGTAGTGAGAAGGTAAAGCAAAACTAATTGATTTGGTTTTTTAAAAATAGAGATACTGGTGGG